CATTTTTTTCATTAATTTTCAACTTCATTTGAATGTATTTTTGTTTTAATTATTCTTTATATGCTTTTCATATTTTGGTGATTTTTTTTTTTTGTATTTTTTCTAACACTTTTTGACCGCCGGAGACTTGCCCGGTTATAACGGTTGAATCGGTGGGTTTACCTGTTAGGTCGATTAAGTAGCTTCCAAGCCCATATCTGATTGACCGTTCCAGTTTGATTTTGCAAACACGACTCTCGCTCTTCTTATTGGTTATTAGCACCACACTTAAATTTTTTTAAATGTATTCATTTCAAATTCTATCATTTCTTATCTTGTCATTCATCCATCCATCTTAACATCCTCATATCCGTTATATTCATTCTATAGGTATATTATTTTCAAGTACATAAAAAATAGAAGTAGACAGTTTTTTAATTTAGGTTAATGTATGGGCTGAAGAGGTTAAGTTCCTATAATTTGGGTTCCTAAAAGTAATAGTAGGAGCGTAGTATCTTTGGGCTTTTACACCGACCCAAAATTTGACGCACTGAAGAGGAGGTTTAAAAGGCCAAAGACATCAATTTTATGTATCCTTTAAATAAAGAAAAACTGTTTTATGCATCGTGGGACGCATGACTACCACATTAACACCCGAGGCATCATACATACATCCATTATAAAGAAGAGGGGTGATCCTTCCTTTCTAAAATGATAAGAAGCAATGGTTTCTAAATATTTTTTTATTGTTAGTTTTTAAATTTTAGTTTTTTACACATTTATGATCTTCACGTTAGAGATTTTTTTTTTTTGGGTAATTCAGTGGGGATGATGAGCCCGTACCCATTTTTTGAAATCGCTAGTGATTTTTGTTAGGCAAGAATGGAAACCGGACCTTGGGTGAGTGATGCTACCACTAAAAACCCAACTCCATTCTCAAAATACAATAAAAATTAGGTACACCTAAAAAAGTTACGTCTAAAATCTATGTAAAAAAGATGCCATAAAAGAGGGGACTCATATCCACATGAGTACTAGGACTCGTAAAAACCATGTCCTCTAAAATAAATGTCATCCACGGCGAAATGGTTAGTCACCTTGCCCTTTACTCCGTGTAGGACTGGCAATGGACAGGGCCGGGCTTGGTAGATTACGAGAGAAAAAATGAATTTTTTTTATTTGTTTCTTTTCCTAATGAAAGTGTGATATTTTTATTTGATTTATTTATTTTATTTTTTTTGTTTTGTTGTTTTCACTCTTCAAAATTTTAGTTTTTGTAGTAAGGTAAAAATAAAATAAAAAATATTACCCAAAAAAGGAAGCCTATTTATTTTGGTTATTCAATTCCTATATTTTGCAACCTAGAGAGATAAAGAAACGTAGCTTGAGTATCAGCCTTTCTTTTCTTTATCAATTCCTATATTTTGCAACCTAGAGAGATAAAGAAACGTAGCTTAAGGAAAGTATCAGCCTTTCTTTTCTTTAACAGCAGATATTGAGATTTTGCCAAAAAAAAAAAAAGAAATCCATTCATTTTGGTTATTCCCTTCCTCTATTTTGCGACCTAAAGAGGGAAGTGCCTACCTTTTATATGGGTGCATATTGAAATTTTGTAAAAAAAAAAAAAAACTATTTATTTTGGTTATCCTCTTCCTATATATTTTGCAATGCAAAGAAACGTAGCCTGGGGAAATGGTAGCCTTTTCTTTGAGGGTTATTGACCCATTTCAAATGGATAGAGAGAGAGAGACGCGTTTCAGATGGAGAGAGAGACCATTCAGCTCGGTGCCATCAGCAAAGTATTTGTGGGTCATTTCGGTAATTTTCATCTCTCTCCAAAAAAATTTATCATTTTTTAGAAATCCAATCTCTCTTAAAACTCTCTGGTTCTTTATAAACCGAAGCTTCCTCTCTCATAACTCTCTCTCTATAATTTCAGTCTCTGTTTTCCCCTCTAGATCTCATTCTCTCTCTAAAACTTTATCTGTTTCCCTCTTTAAAAACCCAATTTCTCTTTCCAAAATCTCAATATTTACTGTCTTTAAAACCCACCCAATCTCGCTTTCTCTAAAACTCAATAAGGGGTCTTAAATTTTTAAGCAAAGTTTTGTTCTTACAAGATTTGTGACCCACTGGGCTACACGGACCCACTGGGCTAGAGAGAGAGAGCGCAGAGCTTTGGGTTTAGGTTTTTGTTCTTCTGTGTTAAAAGGGCTGAAGAATGGCTACCTCAAGGAGATGAGGAGGGGAAGGTAGTAAGTGGGGAGGAGGGGGGTTTTGGAGAGGAGGCTGTGATGGAGGTGATGAAGGGGCTCGAGGCCGAGATAACCGGAAGTGGCTCTTCTTCCTCTTCCTGTGACGCTTACACCAGTGGAAATCATGAGACGTTCTGCCCGTCCTTCTCTGACTCAAAGACCACAGTCATGGCCAGCATCGACATGGCCGGGGTGGTTTTTAAGATGCCGAGTTCCAGCGAAACCGAGCACTCAGGCAGCCAGATCCCCGCAGCAACCGAGCCGAGCTGCTCCTCAATTGAAGATGCAGAAGATTCATCGTGGTGGTTGGGGATGAAGAGGGTAGGGAATTTCTCTTTGATGACTCTATTTGCCTCAAAGGAACTCAGGAACTTCTTTTCTGTATCTCTTTTTCTCTTCCTGTTTCTTCTAAGCCCATTGTCCTTTCATTACCTGCACCTGTTTTTCACACTTTCTGTTGGAGATGGCTTTGTCCAATTCCACTCTATATCTTTTGCCAAGGTTTCTCTCTCTAAAGCTGCAAATGGGTTTTTTCCCTCTAAAAGCTCAAATTGTGTTTCTTCCCTCTAAAGCTGAAAATTGTGTTTCCTCTAATGTAGTTTCTAATGTACGGATTTTTATTGAAAAGGCATACCGATTTTTAGGGTAATTTACTGAAATTTAGTAACTTCAGTACAACAAAATCTAAGTTTTAGTACTTTTATTTGGAAAATCAGAATTTAAAAAAACCCCAATAGCATTTTTTACCTTCAATTTAACGGTTTTTTTTTTTTTTTTCCAAAACAAACTTTTTATGCAAATACCTTCAAAAAATAAAAATTTATTTTGTTAAACAGAAATGCCCTTCCCATACACAACAATCATTTTGCTGACTTTTGGACCAATAACACATTGTTGGAGTGCACCATCACATTGTTAGAGAGCATAAGTGCCGAATTACCCTAAGACAACTATCGAATTGAAATTGAGTACTACGGGATCATGCTTTGCATAATACCGGAGCTTTGAAATCCAATAACATATACTGTCAGACCACCCTATGCAACTGTTAGACTACAGTACATAGTGTCGGAGCCTTGAAATCGAGTAACAGTTATGGTCGGAGTGTAATTTGCAAGCCAACGTTAGGTTGCTTTACACATTGTTGAAGCACTACTACCGGATTGTCTGACTTATATTGTATCGGAGCCTTTATTTTAGTGGGATAGAGGAATGAACAAGGTAAGGTAAAAGTAAGGAATGGTAGTTTAAGTATTTTTTTATTACGATAAGGTAAAGGAAGGAAGGGTAATTTAAGTATTTTTTTATTTTTTATTTGGTTGGGGTATTTTGCTTACAAAAATATATTTTGGAAAAAAAAGTGAGAGAGAAAATTAGGCCGGGATAAGGTAAAGGAAGGAAGGGTAATTTAAGTATTTTTTTATTTTTTATTTGGTTGGGGTATGTTGCTTACAAAAATGTATTTTGGAAAAAAAAGTGAGAGAAAAAATTAAGCCGGGTAAATTGTATGGAAAGTGTACTCTTTGTTATTTATATTTTTTTTATTTTTGGAATTTTTCCTTAATTTAAACTTTAATTTTACTGAAAACTCGGTATATTGATTCTTAGGAATGTTTAACGTCAGATTCAGCGTCTCGCTCGGCCCCTGGCAAAGTGGCCTTCTTAAAATCAAAACAAACTAAATCAAGGTTTTATCTCAGTAGGTTGTTCTACTGTCTTCCCTCTCTAGACTCTGGACTTCTTACACTTTGTCTCTCTACTGGCATTTCTTCTCTCTTTACTGATTTCTCTATCCACTATTCTGTCGTTCTCTCTTCCCTTCTCTCTCTATTCTCGTCTCTACCGCACCTTTTCTTTCCCTCTCTACACTTTTTCACTCACTCAACTAATCTCTCCCTACCGCTCTTTCACACTCTCTCTATTGTTTTCTCACTCTGCCCACTGTGTTCTCTCACTACCAATTGTTTTCTCTCTCTAACTGCTGTTCTCTCACTCTAGTAGCTGTTTTCTCTCACTAGCCACTGTTTTATCTCATTAACTGCTGTTTTCTCTCTCTAGCTATTGTTTTCGCACTATACCCTCTTCACTTGTATGCTCTTTTTTTTTTCTCTCCTTCCTTATCTTATTGTAATAGCAGCCTGGTTAGGGGCATGTGCTTATATTCATTAAAATTTTGTTTAACTATTGAAAAGGAAAATTCTATGCTGATGAACTTTTATTGTTTGTCGAAGAAATGTGAGAATACCATGCATTATTATTGTTTGTTGATGAAATGTGAGAATACCATGCATTAAAACCTTTTTGTTTCGAGTGTTGACTTCTTACTTTAAAGCATCAGTATCATATTTTATTGCAGTAAGATACGAGGACTTTTAAACTCGGTGAAGGTATGATTATTGATAGAGTAAAATGGTGAATCAACAAATTGTTTTAACTGGCACACTACTCTCCAACGTATGGACATATTTTATAAGCACTGGTATTTACAAAGACAAGCTCTTTGACCATCAAAATTGGTTTGGAGGCTGCCTCTCCTAAGCATCTGCGTCCATGTTAGATTCTTTATAAACATGGATAAAATGTACAGTCTCCTCCTCAGAGTATCTTTGATTTCGCAAAATTCCTGGTATAATCACTTTTCGACATGTAATGGTATTTAGAGACCAGTATAAGAACCGGTGCATTAAAAATTGTTGAAGCATTTTGAATTTTTTTTAACATATAAACCGTATAAACATACTAATTAGTAATTAACTATATAAAACTTATATCTAACACAATTTACTCAACTGAGGAAAGGGAAGAAAGAGAAAGAGAAGGTCAGCCACTTCCTTTGTGTCTCTCTCTCTCAACCCATTGTATTTGTCAATTTTTATCGAAAATAACAACCATCATTTGCTAGAAAGATAATTTCATGGCCCATGTTTACCTTTATATAACATCACAAGTAGAGGTAGTTGGTATTATAATGCCATTTAATTATTTTCATTTGGATGGCTAGATCTAAGTATTTAAAAACTTAAAATCCAAATATTGTTTTTTTAATAAAAATAATAAGGGATTCTTAAGTGAATCTCAGAATAAGTGAATCTCATAATAACTATTTTGCTCGAGGGGATAATATGCTCCTGCAGTAACATGCTATACGCGCTTTCACTGAGAGCATACATCAAGCCAATTCCTAAAAACAACACATTAGCGTTAGGGTCCCAATGAGGTTTCACGCTAGTAATATTTAAAAAGGTATATATATATATATATATATATATGAAAAAAAGCTTCTATACTTCCTCTACAACATAAAAAATCTATGCTTCCCCTATCAACCAGCCGTTCAATTTTGATCAAGAGAGCTATTCACCGTTTGATCTTAGATCTGACATATCAAAGTATTTTGTTTTTAATTTTTTTTATACAAATTGTATGAATATGAAATTTGGTATGTACCATTTCTCATTGGGGTGCACTTATTAAAAATAGTTTTCAATAAAATATAATGACCAAAATACTCCTTGAAATTTTCAGGGGTATTTTGATCATTTTATTTTATTGAAAATATTTTTTTATATTTTTCGTTAGTACGAGTTTAATAGAAGATTGGACGTCCAAAATTTGATGTCAAAATAGTTTATAGAAAAAAATTAAAAATAAAATAATATAGAGATGTGATATTGTGATTGGGGCAATCTTAACCCTCCATTAAGAATGCAAGGTTGGATAAAGGGAAATATAGAAGTTTTATGCGATAGAGGAAGCATGGAAAGCTTGCCTGGACTATTTTCAAAAAATTATTTAAGAAACAAAAACACTAACAAGGAAAAACACTTGACTCTATTTTTGGTAATTTCTATTATGAAAAAAAAACGAATTGAAGAAAGCCATCCAACAAAGATATAAAGACCAAAGAACTGAGGTTTTCTTTTTCTTTTTCCCTTTTAAGGAGGATGATAGAACATCAGGAGGTGATTGGACGTAGAGTCATCTGGAAATGAGTTATGCCCGGGGACTAACACCCTAATGACAAAATAGATAAGGACTTGGGGAAACCGTCCACGTTTGTCAAGATGACCTCTTTAGGATTATTCAGCTTCAACTTTCAAAACATGTGTTAAACCCAAAATTAAAGAGAATCATTATCCAGATTGACGACTGGGACGGGTTAGGCAACTTTACATATTTTATAACCCAAAGAAATTAAAAAAGGCGCTGAGAGAGAGAGATCTCAATTTGCAAGCAGCAACTACTTCATAAGCTGAAGCCAGTCAGCAAGAATTGTAGATGGGACATTGCAGATACTAAACTTCTGCAAGAAGATCGACGAGTAATACAAGCTGATTTTCACGTTGAGCATTGGTGTCCCCCAAGATGCTTAGCATTTTCTCAGCTGAAAGAAGACCCAACTGTGTTAAGTTGGATCAGTCCTTTCGTGTACCACGTGTTCGAGAAGCCCAAATCCCAAAAACAAGAAACCAGAATACAAATAAGATCAGCCAATAACGTGCAGGCCCATACTTGATTCTTGGCAACACTACCTGCATGTTTTCAAAAGGTCTCACTTGCTAAGCAATAGACTCAAAATCAAAGCTGAAAGAACACATTATTCGCTATAATATAATAAGAGACATTGAGCAAGTACATGTACACTTGGAGCAAGTACAAGTGCAACATTCATACGCATTGGTGTCTATCCTAGTGATTTTATCTCGTGACCAAATTTATATGCAAAGATATGTATATACAGACATTTAATTATAAGCTGCACTTTGGTGCTCAAGACTAAAGACCCAAACCACTAGACTACGCACCCATATGAATGTATGTGTATGGATACTGCACCCAAATTAAGTTTAACATGTAACGAGTGCATGAAAGGAACAGGAACATGAAAAGAAACTGCAAAAATTAAATCTGCACAAGCACAAAACTATAGTGAGAATGGCGTCAGATACTTCATCACAGGGCTTATTGGTACTACCGCGAAGGCCCCAACCCATTCTCAACTATAGCAAAACAAGAGATGTAGGAACGATGAATAACCATCCCATTGAGCACTGGGACACAGTAAATAGAATCATTACAAGAGTAAGACATAATCTGTGGAGCATATACTTTCCTGTCTGCTAACTGAGATTACTGACATTATAATAAATAATAAAATAAAAATATTTAACGAAAAAAGTAAATAAAAAAAAATGAAAATGTTATGCATCCATGTACCATCCAAACAACCAAAGTCTATTTTATAGGAAATGCTTTTCTTGAAATACATTTCAAAGGAAATAGATTTTTCCAGGTAATATTTTTCCATGGATCCAAACGTTGAATACATATCATATTCTGAGTACCAAACTGTACTTCTCGTGAAAAACCGACTTCAACATTGTTCAGGACAAGAATACCGAACTAATGGGCATGTTGCGGAAAAAGAAATGGACATTTTAAAAGGGGCACTATTATAAAATTCAAAATTTTAGCATGTCTTTCAAGTATCTCCAAAAAACGTATTTAGGGAAGGAAGAAAAACAAGCAGAAAAGATACATGAACTTTGAAATCTAAGTGCTTTGATCATGTTCTAGGAGCAATGCTGCTCCAGGTATTCCGGAACGAGCAGCTGAAGGACAACTTTTCAGATGCAATCACCACTTTGAGAAAGAGAGGTCAAGGTTTTAGATCTCATTTCCATTCTATATAGCATGGTGCATCTTATGAACAGAAAACAAAACAAACAATTTACACTAACACAGATTCGGTAGGAGTTATACATGCATTTGGAACCATTTCATAAGAAATCTGGAAAATCTCTCACAAAGTAGAACCTCGACTGGCCCCAACATGTTTGAAGGACGCATAAACCACCTTTTAAATGAGTAAAACAAACTTATCTTAATGAAAAACTCCTCAAAAAATTTGGCACAAGAGATTGTAAAATTAGTGCATAAAGTGATTTCGTGGCTCAGGAAATGTAAGATGCGATGATTTACGGTTGAGGGTAGTCTTGAAGCACTAATTTTAAATCCTTTTGATAGATGATCAATCCCTCAAAAGAATAGAAATTAAGAACTTCAAATTTAGCCAAAGACATCAATAATGAACTTCCAAATCAAGAATTTGATATTCCTTATGTGCAGAAAAATGCATATCAAGTTCGAGAATCTGCATGTTTTAGAAAATAATTAAATGAAGAACAAAAAAATGTCAAAACACAATGTCCACTATGAATTTTCAATATAAGAGAATATTTGCTCGTGTAGGGGAGAGAGAGAGAGAGAGAGAGAGAGAGAGAGAGTAGTTACTAGAAGTAAGAGGTAGGACGGCTCTACGTAACGTAACGTAGTCGTTCTTCGTTAGTTTACGTTTTACGTTAGGTAGGGAACGGGAACGGACGAA